TGACTTCCATCACCATACAACTAGCTACCTATAATATAATAATTACGGGACTATCGACCAATCAGATGCGTTTCATATATCCGATTAACCGATCAGAACAGTGCGGACCAATCCATTGAGAGGTAGCGGTAGTTGAAGTCAAATCTGATCATCTCTATTTATAAATATTAATAACTTCGAATTCGCTCCTTGTGTTATAATTAATTTCATCGAACTAAACAGACCTAAATTCCAGTCAAACGCTGTCTTCTTAGAAATGGTCGACTTGAAATATTTAAATATTTCCCTATTGGACGGATTTGGGTTCGACTTAGGAGTGTGATTAGATTTTATACGCAAAATCAGGAAGAAAAATTCCTGTCTGAACGAATAATGAAACAATTTCTATGAAGATAGCATTTTCATCAAAGATTTTAATTGTTCACTTATGCCGTTGTCTCTATATATCACAGAGTGAAAGTTCTAATGCGTCCCAGACACCGTCTGAATATCTCTGGGCGTTCTTTCGGGAAATAATACTACCATCGTAGCAAAACATATGATTTATTGCGCCGTTCAAAGCTATAATGTAATTCCCAAAAGTTCCGAATCGTTTATGAATTGGTGTACCAACAATGAACCCTTGCGGATGAAATAGGTTTTGGGGGGTATTGTCTGTGAAAAATTGCCCAACATTGGATAGAGTCAGCGATGACTTTTGGCGGGATGCCAGTTTGAGGCTTCCTTGTCGTAGAACTTGTTTTACAAACCCTTTGCTGTTTGTTTCGACTTTAGATACAAATTCCAAGTGGTTATCATGGCTTATATCATTGTGGATAGATTGAGTTAACGATTGTGCGACTTTCCAAAAATCTTCATTGGGTGAGGGTAGTGTGACATCATAGGTCAGCGAGCCATAGTGACAGGCAACATAGTCTGCCGGGAGTCTAGGACGATGATTTTTGTCGACAGCAGTAAGGCAGGTAACATCATTTGTAGTAGTAGCGCAGAATTGATTAGTCTTGAGAAGACCACTGAATGAATAATGACAGGCGGCGAGGATAGCCCCAGTGACTGTGCTGTTGTTTTTTCGGCATTGTTGAAGTAGGGAAACACATTGGTCGGGTGGCATGGTACGTATGAGGACTTTCGTTTTGGGTTCAGACTTTTGTGGATTGTTTTCAATGGTAGGGAACTGTGAAAGTACTGGGTTGATGTAGTCTGCATTTTGATGGCAGGATGTTGATGTAGAGAGTTTCTGAAGTTTATGGGATAGAAGTGTCGCAGAGCTCGGGTATAGTGGTAGTCTCGGGATATCTTCTACATTTGGTGCTGTTCCTTTGGTAATGTTTTCAAGGTAGCCGAGGGTTTGTTTCAACACAACTGTTAAACTGGACCCATTAGCAATAGCATGTGATATTGCTAATGCCAGTCCTCCTGTGTATGACTTTGAGCTTGAGTTAAATTTTCCTGGGATTAACACGGCTTTCCAAAGAGGCCCATCATCTGAGTCGAACTTCGTGTTTGCGAATATTTCTTCTGTGATTACCTCCATATCGTTGATGTCTCGATCTAGGATTGAAAATCCGAAACTGGTACGTCCATCCATGCATTCGAAATATTTGAACTCTGGGGTTTCGGTTATTGTTGCACGAAGCAAAGGTTGCTTGTATGAAACCATGGTTAGGGCTTCGCACAGGGGTTCTTCTTCAACTGGAATTTTCGATGTAATCGGTGTTAGAAGATACGAGAAACCAATCCCTGTTTTATGGTATTCGTGAAAAACTGACTCGAGGCCATCTAGAGGTCGCTTGCTTACTTTGCGTTGCTTGTAGATGTTGTTAGATGACTGAGTTACTTTGTTTCCGTGTTGTACCGAACAACCATGGACACGTTGAGTTTGATAAAGTCTTAAAGCTGGAGCTCTTTTACTGCTTTGAAAACACCTGCGCAACATTTTGAGTTGATGTAAGACAAACAGCTTGGTTTCTAACCAAAATTCTTGGCGATTTCGAAATATGTGGCGCTATATGCATGTATACGATCTAAAAATATTGCTCGGGAACGAGACTATGACATTCTTGCTGCATCTTCATTGTAAATCATCGAAAGTCATCGTTCATTATTGACATTAGATATTTTATATAACATTAATCCTATTCGGCGAGATCAACAATTTGTGCATTAAAACTGAAGCATAAATTAGTTACATAAGTATAGGATAAACACAGAGGAGGGATTTATGTGAAATAATAACCCTAGGACGCGCAGCGTCCGAGGGCATTATCTGACATAAATCCCGACTTTCGAGGTGTTTATCATAATTAAATCTTGCTTGAGGAGGTTTTCCAACAAAGTTTTGTCTGTTTCGTCTGGTTTGAACGATGATTTTCCGAGTTTTCCTTTATCTTTTCAGCTAATTAATATTCAAAGTGATTATTAAAAATAATCACCTCGGTACGTGAAAGAAAACCGACTCAATCAAGAATTAACTGTGGATACCTTTTATTACAATGATTATATTATTCTATATAATGACTTCAAATTGACTCTGTGAAAATCGGTGCATTGCTCTACCTGCTGCGGTAGTGCAGGTAGTGCATTGCTGATACATGAATGAACGATCTAAAAATATTGCTGGGTCTTCATTATAATCATCGTGCATGCATGCATCAATTTGAATGGAATGTCTGATTCAAATGCTTTGATTTCATGGAATTTAATTATCACCAAAATTCAAAATTTTGTAACCAGGTCAAATGTATTCATGATACGTATGGACGAGGCAACATGTCATTTGAAAGGAGAAATAAATACAAATGTCCACGTTTTGCGCCACATGGTGCTTTTAGTAAAATGATATTATTAACAAAAGCTTGTACCGATAAAGTATTTACGCGTGATGTATAATATTCATGTTGTATACAAAACATTGGTATAGAAAAAGGGGGTATTAACACACCTCGTTTTGCCACAGATATCTCATATGCACTAGATAGCGCATCTCTCTTAGTAAAATTGATGCCAAGAATATTCCGACGGTTAATCCCGTTTGAATAGATGACGGCCATGTTGGTAGTTCCCACTCGCTAATAACGCTTAAAAAACAACAATAACATTCATCATTTGAATAGTTTAAAAATGTATTTGGAATAGGTTTAACTTAATGTTTAAGTTCCCTGTTTAAGAAATAGAAAACATACGAATCTTCTCATTTCATGGTAATATCCTGAGTCTGCAATCACGGCTTCAATTTTTGAATTGCAGAATAATTAGATGCACTATCTCGGTGTATATAAGATATCTATGGTTTTGGCCCATTGTTGAGTCAGTCTTTTTTCCTTCGTATTTTTTGCTGCTACGACAGGTATTATGTCAGGGGAGCGGACATCCGAGAGACTCGGCATGCAGCACAGACGTAACGCAGTGTGAGTGAGTCGAGAACAGGGGAGGTGTCGCGAGACCGCAGATTAAACTTTATTTGCTCTAGCTCGTAACATTTAAGAGTGGGCCCCGTGTGCCCCAAAAGTTGACTGGTAATTAGTATCATCCTCATATTTGGGAGCTTTAGAGCTTATCAGCAAGAATTTCAGTCAACTGATTGGCAACATTTTCGTTCCATCAACTCGTCGTGTAGTCTTTCTATTACCGAGTTCCCTGCTGTATTAAAGTTGCCGGCTTTGTATTCAATTTTTCTGTTTAATTCCGCCGCCATCGCAGGTATATGCATGGGTATTTGAGTCTGATCGCGCTCATTAATTATTAATCACTTGCGGTTGCTACCCCTCACATTCCTTGGCGCCCTAGAAACCCACAAAATTGTTTGCACGCGATCTTTTTTAGGCACTAATTTTACATATTTCAGTAGAGATTAGCAGGTGGCAGTGCGTTTTTTTACTTAGGTTTGGTATTTTATATATAATGTCCATAACTAAGCGTAGCTAGATATGACGATATGTCATCCTGTAAAATGTACCTCTTGCCGTCGAAGCAGCTTAAATTTTAAAGAGATTTTGTTAATCTGAAAGCTGCCCAATTGGCGGCACCTTACGTTTCGGTTGGCATTCATTTTATGCCATAGTTGCCTATTACGTAGCAGAACGTCTTTGTAATTTCAGGGCCGTAGGAAGCTCTTTTCGATTGGGGGGGGGGG